GGGAGGCTGCCTGCGTCCCCAGGGTTTAATTAGCAACGAGCCGTGCTGCCTTGACGATTTTCTTCGCGGGAAGACACTCACCTATTGAACCGCACATCTGGCCAGCTCACACACAGCTGGAGGGGCTCCCCGCTGGGGGGGGCTGGCTCCCGCCCCGCGCCTTTTTTGGTGTTAATTAAACACCGTTAATCACCGCACAGCTGCTTTCACAGGGACACGGAACCCCCAGCCCCTCCTTGGGTAAGGAACCAGAAAATCCAGCTCCGGGAGGGGGGTCGGACCCCAGCCCAGGACAGCACGGCCACTGCCGCCATCCGGACAGAGCCCCGAGCTCCCTGTGAGGCCAGTGCCCAGCTGCAGGCTGCTCATTGCTCAGTTTGTCAATGATTACAGAATAATTGCTGCAAAACCCCCCCAGCTCAGCTTCATCGCAAAGCCAAGGGCAGGAGGGCTGCCTTCCAAACATCCCCCCGTCCCGGGACCCAGCCCTTCCCCTGCCTCCCAGCAGAGCCCTTGTCCCCTGGGAGCCCACGGGAACCTGCCCTGCTGCTGGCCCGGGGGACAAGGGCCAGGCAGGGCCAGCTCTACCTTTGCAGCAAGACCACAACGTACAGGCTCCGAAATCCCCTCCAGCCCCTCGGTCGGTGGCTCCCCGGCTGTGCTGTGGCTCTCGGAGGCTGCCTGAGCCCCCCTGGCCATCAGGGCATGCAGGATGGTTTCTCTGTCCCCCACAGAGCCTGCTCTGAGGTTTCCTGCCCCCACCTCTCCCAGGAGCGGGGAGCACACAGTGGAGGGAGGAGGAAGGCAACTCCTGCTCATCCAAAACATTTACTGTGCAAACACGAGGCCATGACAGCGTTAGAAACCGTTTATTGTTCCAGGACCCCAGGGGTCACGCACAGCTCTGGCTCTTCCTCCCGAGACGCAGGACAATCGGGTTGGGGCAGGGATCCCAGAGGAAGCTGTTGGCAATCTGCTCCAACCTTTCCTGTTAGTTCAGTAAACAGCCTTGGAGCTGCATTAACCCCTTCTGCACTGACCCCCTCCCTCTCCGGATCACACTGAGCGGGGGCACAGACAGCACCGGGGCGTTCCCCCCAGGACCTGGCACAGCCCCCCCGCAGCTTCCCCTGGGGATGCCCTGCTCCAGCCTCTCTCCCTGTCAGGATGCCCAAAAAGATAAAAGAAAACCGAAGGCAGGGACTGGGGCATGCTCCTGGCCCCGGTGCTGCCAGCCCTGGGTAACAGGGTTGTGCAAAGCGCCAGCAGCCGTGCGTCCAGGAACAGCCCTGCAGGACCCGAGCGGGAGAATCCCGCATCCACCGCCCTGAATCACAGAGTAAAGAGGGTAAAACCAAACAACTCGACACCAGGCTGGCACCGGCCTGAAGGAGTGTTGAAGGAAAAGCGTTGCACAGAAACGCTGCCGCCACGCCGGTGCTGATGAAGGGAAGGCTCTCTCTGGTGGAACAGGTCAGGACAGGCAGGATGGCAGCTCCAGCACAGCACCAGCCTCGCCTGCAGAGAAAAATCCGGAGCAGAGAACAGGAGACAGCTGTCCCGCCTTGGCTCCGGCTGTTCCAAACGCTGGCCGGGGACCTGGCGAGTCCAGCACAGGCACAAGGTGCCGGTTAAACCCGCTCTGCCCCTTGCAGAGAGAGCTGGGGGCTTGCTGAAGTCACACTGCTCAGCAAACAGGGCATCACGGGTTCTGGGACCCCAGCTTTGTTATCAGACATTAATTAATGAGAGCACAGTGGCACTGAGAACAGGGCAACTCCAAGGCGCCTCGAGGGCTCGGCCCCAGGGGCCAAAGAGACAACACAGACAGCTCGACTCAACCCCAGTGTAGCTGCTGGCCCACCACCGCAGGCGGAGAGCAGCGCAGTCCCTGGGATTACTGGTTATTGCTTAGCACCAGGTCACGTATCCCCAAAGGCAGCCACTCAAAGTCTCCAAGGACCCTCCAGGTCCTTCTTCTGCTGTCGCAGAAATAGGGATTACAGGTTGTGGCTTCAAGAACATAATAAATAAAGATCTGCAGTGTCCTGAGGAGCATCTGCAAGCTGGCAGGTGAGCTGGCTCCCAAGATCTGTCTCCATCTGCCCCGCGCCTGCCTGGCCAGGCAGCTCTCCAGCCCTCCATCACCCGCACCGACCTCGGTCCTTGTCTCTGAGGAGCTGGTCTCCCCTCCAGCTGCTTATGGAGCAGAGTCTGGAGCGGTGATTCAAGCAGCTTCACGCCTCAGGTCCGGCACAGAAGGAGCCTCACCGCTGCTGTCTCCGACCCCGCGAGGAAATCTCACAGGCGAGCCGACAGCTGGCAGCAGGATCGATCTCAGCCCATCTGAACACGGCAAAGGCGAGCTCTGACGATGGCGCAGCGCCAACAAGGGATGGATCCTGGCTCATAACACAGGCAGAAGACTCCTTGCTGTAATTTCAAGAGGCTCATCAGCTTTCTGTCCCCCCAGATCTCTCTCAGCGCCGTGGGTTCCCAGAGGCAGAGCGGGATCCGAACGGGAATCGTCACTCACACCGGCGAGAGGTCGGGTTTTTCCCTCAATCAGCGCCGCTGCCGGCAAACACAAAGCCAAGCGATCACTCCAAACTTTGCTTAAATTATAACACCCTCATGCGTAAGCTGGTTTTGCATCAGGCTGCCAGAACCGTTTATCAGCCTGTAGCACGAAGCGTCGCTGCCCGTGGAAGCTCTGGCTTGCTGCTGTACTCCAGGCTGCCCGCGCCCTGCCACAGCCTCGTACGCGCACAGTCTGATTTACACAAGGACAAGAGACACCGGCAGCCCTTCCGCAAACAGAATCAGAAGAGGAAAAGCAAAGGAAAAGCAAGGAGTGCAGGCAGCGGGGTGGTCTGGGGGCTCCCAAGGGCAGCGGCTCGTTCTCGCCCAGCCCCACACACGAGCGCTCCGAGGGTGGGACTCCCGGGGATCCAGTCGGAGCAAAGGCAGATTTACAACTGAATCAAACCTAAAGCAAGCGTTCAGCTTTGGAAGCTTTAGAGTTGTTGTTTAATCCCGAGACAGCGCAGCTGAGTGAGTTTCGAATATAAGTTACAAAAAAAGAAAGCACTAGAAAATAATCTTGATACAAGAGCAATAATCAGCCGAGGTTCCCCACCCTGTGCAGGGAATCCTGCTCCACGATCCGCCCAGCACAGCTGGGATGCTGCCAAGGCATTGCCTGTTCCCAGCACATGCTGGGATGGCAAACTGTCCTGGGTGAAAGTTACGTGGGGGAATCCCCAGAAGTGGGAGTTAAGATGCTGCCACCAGTTCTGGTTTTGGCCTGTTCTTGACGGGTGACGCTTCTGTGGAAGAAAAAGAAACTTGTTACAGAAACAGAGAATGCAAATTATCTCCAGCCACCTCCTGTGGAAGAAGCAGGACTCACAATCCTGCCTCCATAGGGCAACAAATGTTTGCACAGCACCTGAACTAACAAAAGTTTGTTATAAATAATTCCACATATCCAGCATGCCCCTCTTTCACTGCACTTGAAGAATTAAAACAGTTTCAGAACATATCCAACAACTTCAGCAGCCACCAGCCTAGCGGCACAGATCTGGGGCAGGAAGCGGTTTCGCGGGGGGCAGCGGGTAGACGAGCTTTTCCCCTCACCCCCTCGACCTGACACGAGTCTAGAGGCGCTCACTCAGCTGCACGCAGCGAGGGCAGCTGGTATTTTGTTTGGCCACCCTGCTGCCAACACAGAGACATCTGATCCGTGTTTACCAGTAAACAAGCACTGAAAAGAAACCAGCCCCGTGCCCCATATCCCAGATTTCTCCCGGGCAGATTCCACACGGAGGAAACGGCTCCTTACGGCTCCCGGTTTCCACTGGCAGGGATGTCCAGCTTCTGCCACCGATGGTCCGGTGTTCTGCTGTCCCAGCAGACAGACTCGTCACCAGTTTGCCTTCTGGCACCCAGCTGAGCCCAGCTTGAGCTGTTTGTCTCCAGCTCTTCGGCACGGACAGACACCTGGGAATGCTCTGGGAAGGCTCCATCCTCAGCAGGCAACGGGCCGGCCGCGCCGTTCGGTCACTCTGCTTCACCAGCTCTCTCCCGCTTCCCTCTTCACACCCAGAGGCACAAACCCTGCCGCTGGGGCTCTGGAGCAAACATCCCCGTAGCTCCTGTGTGGAGCTCACGGTCCAACAGACCTGCAATGGTGGGACTCCAGCGATCCTCATCCAGCTGCTTCAAAATGACCGCTGTCACCTGAAGCAAGGTCACAGGAGCCATGAGCAGTGACGGAGCCCAGAGAACTCCCATTCTGTGCAGCGTGGGTGCTAATATCCACGGTCACAAAGAATCGTTCCTGCGCAGCAGCACGCTGCGGTGACACACAGGGGAACAGCCTGAGTTTTTGGGCTCAGGCAGAGAGATGAGGAAGGAACACGCTCGGGGCGTCCCACGGCAGCCAGCGGGCTCGCAGCAGGTACAAAGCACGACCCAAGAACAGCAGATGTACCAACAAGGAACTCTTCAAGAGGAATGACTAGATGCTGACTGAACAAAGAGACGAGTGCCTGGGGTCCTCCTGCGGTGTCGGGGCAGCTGGGTTTGTCAGAGCCACGTGGGGAATCACATCGCCCACACCAGCAGGGCTGTGAACCAGAGTTCTTATCCTTCCCCTGCGCTAGGACAACACTTATAACGGGAGAGAGCCTCGGACTACTGCACAGAACTGAGGAGAACAAGAAGCCGAAGCTGCAGAGCACAGAGAGAAGGCGTACCTGGGATCTCCTCTGGGAGTGGCTCTGAAGGAACTTCTGGAAGCTCCATCTGTTCCTGCAAGGACATTAAAGACGACACGTGACACACACCCCGCATACCGGGGGGCACAGGCCCTTACACCGGGTTTTGTGCAAAGGCTGTCTGGGAACTGGGGAATAATATCTGAGACTTCACAGACAGACACCTGCCCCCAGAGCTGCAGGAAGGGTTTCAGGCTTCGGTGCTGCCCAGTCAATAGCACAAGGCTTTCTTAAATTCCTGTTATTAAACAAGATTTAACAGGACCCTGCACTAGCTATGAGTCTCCTCAAACCAACACTCATTGCAGACCCTCTCCACCTCCACCGGCCGCACACTTCCTGCGGCGGAGCCAGGCCAGTGTCTGTATGAGCCACAGAGATGGGTGGGGGTGACAACGGCCACCGACTGCTGTGACCTGGGCAGGGTGTTCATCTAGTGCAGTGAACAGATCTGCAGTGAGAGCAGAGATAACTAACAGACAGCAAACCAAGCACAACCCTTAAAGCATCCCAGTTCTAAATGACCCCGGTGCACAGAGTCACTCGCTTGATCTTTAATGACACAATAATTGGGCATAAACAGGTCTAATCGGGATCTCCGGCAGAATAACGTGAACTACTGAGAGTGGGAGAAAGATACTTTCTCCCTGATTACAAAAGCTTCCTGAAAATCTGGATTTGAAGTAATTACAAGAACACCAGTCCTACCTGAGTAATAGCATTTAACTCTTCTAGAATGGCATCTTCATCCTCCTCCGTCAGGCTGCCAGCCAGTATCTCATCTATTTGCTGTGCATGAGAGAAGAGGAGAGGACATTCCAGTCAACCCCAGCGCAGCAGAAGCAGCTCTGGGACTTGCAGCATGGCCCGTGCGCACGGGGGAGCAATGTAAACGTGGGGTGAAGGTGTACTTGGAAAAGTAACAGAGCTGATTTTTCTGCTGGCAACAGATTTAGTTCCCAGTCTGATTGCCTCTGAAATAAGGCAGGAGCACAGCACAGAGAACCATTGCAGGGCAGGCAGCCTCCGCTCACAGCTACTCGCACACGCAGTACGTACCCGCTGGTACTCCACGGCATCCTGGGTTTCTCCTATTATTCTTTCTACTTCTTCTATTGACATAACCTGAAGAAAAGAATCAAAAACCCATGTGTGAGTGGGGTCTCCAGGGCCTCAGCTACAAACACCCAGGACTCTGCGTGGTCCGAGGCAGGAGTGCGCTCCGCTGACTCGGTGACACACACCTGGTGCATTTTGTTCAGACACTCGTTGCCTATTTTCAGACCCTCGATGACCTTCATTTCAATCTGGGTGAATTCAATATCCTGGACCTGAAACAGAAAGGAGAAGGGGACCCATCACAGGCTGTCACATTCCCATCTGTGTCAGCCAGACACAGACTCCCCAGAGGAACTGCGAGGAGAAGCCAGTCAGGAGCCCCTTCTTCAGGGAACGGAAAATTAAATCATACCCGTGGTAAGAAACACACACACAAAGCCCCGGCACAGGCAGCTGCAACAACACACCCACCAGCCCGTTAACCGATGTCCTCACTGACCATCCCTCGCTCCCACGGCCACCCCAGAACACACACATCCATTTCTAAAACCCTACTACCGAGGCAAGCCCCAGGAAGTTTCTGCTGCAGGTCTCCACAAAGTTTGACGGATTCACAAAACATGTTGATGATACCACCCTGCACTACAGACTCAAAACACACCTGCTGCTCGATTCTTTGGGGAAGAGTCGTGACATACGCATCCTTCCAGAGACATCGGCCCTTCGGACGGAGGACTAAACCCCCTCGACAGTTACAATACAGCAGCACACCATCAAAAGCACCACCCGCCCCAGGAAAGACTCATTCCAGGCGCACACAGCGGGCCCCTCGCAGCAGTTCTCGCTTACCATCCGCTCCAAGTTGCTGATTTGATTTTCCGTTTTATCTAGAAGTTGCTCTTGGTAACGCTTCTTCTTGAGCAAAAGCAAGGCTTTTCTGCAGGAAAACAGGAGGAGAACAAGTCAGCACAGGGGAAAGAATCACATCAAAGCCAGATTTGTGCTTTTTCCAAAAGGGGACAAAACCACGTGTGAAGGAAACAACC